GATCACCAACCAATTAGGATCGACCATAAAATACTACAGTTATTGCATGCTTCGCATGCAATAACTATTTATTATTTTATTTAAATGTTTAGAAGATTTCAAGTATTTACGAAGTGTTTTAATATTTAAAAGAAATTTGAAAATGCTTACATATTTTTATTTTACATTATTTAATATTAAGTAATTAAGATTAATAGAATGTTGCGTATCATGAAAAATTGGCATTATGCACTTAGATGTTTATTCGTAAAAATTGTGTAATTAGAATTACTGATTTATATGTAACTTATTATAATTACGCGTTTTGGATAATTACACTTTGTTCTAAAATATTTTGCATCTTTTTGTAGAATGCCATAAAATGTCGTAAATATAACATTACAATATTTTTTGCATAAATTTTATAATTACGACAAGTTATGGCATTATGCTCTTGCCTCTATTTATGCTTACGTGTTATATCAATATTAGATATTTTACAAAATGATATCAAGGCATTAAATATAATGATATCAAGAGAAAAGTACTTTAATATATAAAATTTATAAGATTATAGTATTTTCTCTGGCATCTTTCTATTAAAGTGTTTCGAAAATTTATAGTTTTAAAATCTTTTTTCTAAAACAATTCACCAATTTCAATATATTCAAAATGCCACGATACTTAAAGAAAAAAGAGGATGTCAACAAAATATTTGCCGGACTAATTGCTGGTTCTAAAGAATCGGCAGAATATGTAAGAAAAAAAAGAAGAGAAGAAGTTGCGGCTTCTCGTGAAGCAAGTTACGAACAAACACAACAGGCTGAAGCTGCTCGTATTTTCCATAACATAGCTGAAAAAATTGACAAAATAGAGGGGCAGATTGTTTCATTAAATAATAAGTTGTCTGAAAAAATTGACAGAATAGAGCAGCGGATTGTTTCAATAAATGATATGTTGTCTGAAAATTTTGATGAAAAAAATTTTATTGATGTAAGTTTTTGTAAAATTTCAAAATTCTTCGAAATTATATTTTTTATAACTAAAATCTATTTTTTTTTCTTTAAAGCAAACGGTAAAAGGAACAGCCAAAGCGTTGTTTGATTATGAAATTTATCCGGAGCAACAGGATTTCAAGGTGGCTACTGAGGATTACCTAAATGCTAATAATAAGGATTTCCCCAGTGGCCCTTCCAAAAAGGGATGGAATACTTATTATGAGAAAAACATTGCTACGCCGGTAAATTCTTATTTATTTATTATTTATTTACTTATTTCTTTATTTATTTATTTCTTTATTTATTTATTTTTAATTTAACCTAAAATTTTATTATTTATTTATTTTAATTTAATCTAAAATTATTTAGCTTTTAAAACATTTTCGCTCATTACGTGGTTCATTAACAAGAATTAAGGACGCATTGTTTAATGTTTTTGGTAATTCTATGTTGGATCCGATTAATGCTAACTCCATTCCCGAAGAAGTAGTAGCATGAAAGAAATCTATGAAGACCAGAAATTGCTACATGAAACTGTTTGCACCAATAAATGACAATGATCAAAGTATTACATATATGTCTAAAATTTTGCTTAAACTTTGGCTGTCAGACCAAGTTTCAAACAAAAAAGTGGCATTTGCGATCGCTGTGTGCCAAACTGTTCTAGATCGGAAATATAAAAAACTCTCGATTTCTGAAAATATACTTAAGAACAAAATTGAAATAAATTTGGTATATTATAACATTTTAAATATTTTAAAATTCTTTAAAATATTTATAATTTTAATAATATTTTAAATATTGAAATATTTCGAAAATGTTCAATGAATTTTGAAATGTTATGAAATATTTCGAAATATTTCAATATTTTAAAATATTATTAAAATTATAAACGTTTTAAAGTATTTTATGATAAAAAAAATTAAATTTAAAATATTGAAACTTCAAAGAGATTTGAATACTTACGAAAACTTTAAAAATTTTAGAGAAAATTAGAATATGATGAACCTTTTTCCCATCCAGTTTCAGAATCCTCAGGTGAATCAGATAGTGAAGAAAGCTTAGATAGTGAAGAAAACTCAGATAGTGAAGAAAGCTCAGATAGTGAAGAAAGCTCAGATAGTGAAGAAAGCTTGGATGAGGAAGTAAGTATTTTATGTATATTATATTTAGATTTATATTATTAATTATCTAAACATTATAGTTGGAACCAATCCGAAGAACTACTGAAACCTCTCGCAATACTGCAGAAGGATCTCGCAGTGCTGCAGAGTCTTGTCACAGCTCTGCAGAAGCACCATGCAGAGCTGCAGAATGTTCTCGCAGTACTGCAGAACCTTCTCACAGTACTGCGGAGGCTTCTAAAAAACGAAGTATTACTGAACTTTCTCAACAGGTATAAAAATTTTAGTATAAAAATTTTTAATTAAATATATTTTATAGACAAGTTTTAAGTTTAATATTCTTATATAGGAACAAAACGACTTAGAAAAGGTAAAGAACCTGTTCGCGCAACTTTGACAAAAGAACCATCTGGTTCTGGTTCTGGTAATGAAACAAGCGGTTCTGGTCAATGAAACAAGCAGAATCAATTGGTCTTGAAGCACAAAGTGTCGAACAATTGACTTACGAAGCCCTTAGTGAAGAAAATATTACGCATATGAAGAACCGGCAAGTCACTCATCAGAATAATGAGTATAAGTTTATTTTTATTCAATTATTTTGGAACATTTCGTATACTGTATTTAGAATCTTTTTGAAATATTCCAAAATAATTCGTATATTGCAAATTTTTTTCTTGTTTTTTTCTTGCTTCTTTTTTTTTTGTTTTTTCTTTTTTGTTTTTCTTTTTTTTTGTTTTTTCTTTTTTTTGTTTTTTTTTGTTTTTCTTTTTCTTGTTTTTTTTCTTTTATATTATCTCAATAAATAACAATATAATGACTGCGCTATACCAAATGTAATAAATTAAAAATAATAAAAAGTATAATACGTATATGATAAACACTATTATAGCGTTTTATATTTATTAATTAATTCGATCGTTAGGAAGCGTGAATACTAGTAGTATTTCAAAGTATTTCAAAGTATTTCGTCATGTTTCGAAGTATTTCGAAATATTTCATGGTATTCGAAATATTTCAAAGTATTTCATTTTAGTTCAAAATTTTCGTATTTACTTATTAGTTTTTGTTATGTGTTATTACGTTTTTTATACTCTATTTTATTCGATTTATTTCGTAATTTTGTTCGAATTTCTATTTTCGCTAATTCCTGTATTTTTATTTTCTGCAATACTCAGTATGAATCGTAACTTTTTCGGAGTTTTACTCTTGCACAATTTTTTCGAAATTTCATTCATATATATTTTTGCTGATGTACCAAACCAAATTAATCCAAGTAGCCGAATATTGTCTATTATTGCAGTATTGAGAAATACAAGGTTGTCGAATTTTTTTTCGAGAAGGAATATAGGTCTTATAAGTCTATCACTAAAACACTAATTTTCAAATTCTAAAATTGATAACGGATTAGTACATAGACTAGTACAGCTATATGTCACTCTACCTGCCTTATGATTTAACTGATTCGAATGTTTAAAGAACTTGAAATCATCTAAGCAAGTAATATACTTTCAAAAAAGCCTTGGAAATTAAAGACTTTGACTACATGAAAATTCATAAGAACATGAGTTTATTAGTTTAGATTAGTAACAAAAAAAAGATTTGATCGCAGATACTTTGAAAGAAAATTCAACTTTGTGTGATCTAATATAAACATTATAAGACTACGTACTTATATATAACTTTGTTTTAATATAGAAATGATACCTTCAAAGCATTTCGCTGGCAACAATTGAAAAATTTAGAAGGCTTATCAGTTTTAAAAAAAATAAATATCAGCATACCTTCGTTAAGTCTAGGGTTGGTTTGGTCCTGAGAAGACTGGTTAAGGACCGGTCTTTTTGGCCGGTTACACGGTCTTCGGTTTTCAGTCTTTTAACAAATCCAGACCGGTTAATGATAAACTATTAAAATAAACTTATAAGCTATTAAAATAAGCTTTTAAACTATTAAAATAAACTTTTAAACTATTAAAATAAACTTTTAAACTATTAAACCAAACTTTTAACCAATTAAAAACTATTATTTCATGAATTTATTTCGATAACGACAGCTAAAATTGATAATATACTCGTGAAAATAGTTTATTTTTAAGACCGGGGACCGAACCGATAGGATTAATAGATACTATTAGGACCGGTCTTATTAGAGACCGAGACGGACCGGACGGACCAAACCAACCCTAGTTAAGTCGGTTTTTAAGCATTTTAAAAAAATTTTTCGATAAATATGATTATTTTCGCTTACGCCCATGAGTTACCTATGGGCTGATTATAATAGTGATTTCGTTATATTTGTACGAATAATAAAAAAATCGGTGTATTTTCCTTAATAATATACTAAGTCAATAATGTACTAACTAGTTGCAAATTTCCTCCTGACAAAAATCATGTGATAGAGTTGAGCCAGGGTATTAAACAGAAATCAATTAAAAGTAGCCTAATGTATAATTAAAGAAAAAAGACGAATTTAAACCTTTATTACCAGTAAAAAAAAAGTAAACAAATTACGGCAATTTATGTTTTCCTAACGTCTACATTCTAAACCCTACCCTCTACCATTTTATAAATAATTATAACTGATAACAATAGACGATACGATATTTTTCAATATCTATGTCCACCTTCAAGTATTTTGTTATATTATCTGCACCAATATGTCGTATAAATTGTAACATTTTCCAGTGTTGCACACTTCGCAGACTTCATAAATATTTATTTAACAGCCAATCACTTTACAAACAAGTTCATTTCATAGATAATTTATTACATCAACATGGTAGTTATAGTCATTGTTG